TTTTATTGTATTTTATATTTGTATTTTATTGTACAGCACTTTGGTCAGCCTTGGTTGTTTTTAAATGTGCTTTATAAATAAACTTGACTTGACTATGTGTGTATGTATATGTAAGTATGTGTGTATGTATATGTATGTGTGTATGTATATGTATGTGTGTGTGTGTGTGTGTGTATATATGTGTGTGTGTATGTGAAACTTAATTACTTAAGTGAAAACTTCAAAGACATTTTAAGTAGCATTTCGATGCAAGTAAATGGCCTGCATTTGTATAGCGCTTTCACACATAAGTAAATGTAGTTTTATCACAATTATGGTAACAGCACAGAAGAATTATTACCCACTATTATTCTGTCAAAGGCTTGGTAAGATAAAACTATGGGGTCAAAGGTAATGAGAGAGAGGGAGAACACTGTGAAAAACAATTTGTATGTACTTTTTGGTACTTCTCTCTAGTCTTTGTTGTGGTTTATTTCTAATACGAATATAATAATACAAGTTTTAAAGAGAGAGTCACTTTTAAGAATAATGTCTAACAGCTGACATCTGTGTAAGTCGACCCATGTCAAACTGGTTTGAATGTATTGGGTTAACCATTATATCAGTCAGTCATAAATGTATTGGGGTGAAATTAAGATAAAATCAAAATACTGAAAAAAAACAAGCATGCCTTGAAATTCTGAATTATATTAATATACTTATATGTAAATATACTTACTTTATTTCTACCACTGTGTGTAACTGGACTATAAGCTTTAAGAATTTCATACAAGTCAGGAATGCAAAACACAGTGTATTACAGTGTACATTGAAGAAAATACAATATTGCATTAAAAAACACTTTTTTAAACTTAAGTTTCTGTAATATTTCAAACCCGTTCAGACAAAGCTAAAACTTAAACAAGCTGCTTTTCAACCTTACATTCCCCTTCAGTCACTGGCAAAAGAAAAAAGTGCAAATTATTCTGAAATAATACTTAATACATACTAGAGATGGCACGATACCACTTTTTTATGTCCGATACCGATACCGATATCATAAATTTGGATATC